GTGACGGAATGACAAAAAGTTTAGTAGAAGAAAGCCTTCATTTAAAAAATGTTTTATTAATATGTAAATGATAAACAGAATGTAACAGATAAACAGGATTAATATTTATGTAAGAATTAGTAAAAATTTCAACAGTTTGAAAATTAGGTTGTCTCTGAAGAGGTTTTATATCTAACTTGCCAATGTCACATCTTATCTTCGTTCTCAGGAAATTTATGCATTATTAAGACATGTGACGGAATGACGTAAAAGAAGTTACTTTTATTTTTTATATTAAACTTAAAATGTTTAAATTTTGTTCTATATGCATATGTTTATCAAAATATTGCAAAAGAAAGATACATTTCTTTTATTTCATAAGTATTTTTCAAGAAAACAATTTGAGCACAAATGTGAACAATTCAATTGTCAGCCATGTGATTACTTTAGAATACTGCCAGATTCAAAAAATTTAAAATTATCAAAAATGAAACGGCAATATGTAGACTTTGGCTATTTTTGAACATATTTTTAAAATTAAAATATGCAATTCATAAAAAAAAAATTCACTTAAAAGAAATTCCGTGGAATTGCCCTAATACTAATTACGACTTTTCAGGTTAGATATTAAGCAGTAAGTATAGTTTCAAATTTGAAGATTAATTTCAATATATTTCTTTGAAAATTATTGACGAATTTTCTGATATTTTAGCATTTGGTGAATCATATCAAATTTGCATCATTAAAGATTTTTACTAATTCATATTGGAAATCAAAGGTTGGATCTTCCAGAATAACTTCATTTGTGTTCAATGGTCAGGAACGAAAGTATTAAAAAAAATTTTTAAAGAACAGATTTTTAACAATTATTTTTTATTTATTTAACGTATATAAAAGAAATAAATTAATATCTTAGTTCTCTTCATAAGAAATTTCAGATTAGAATTATTGAAGGGGCAATGTTAATAATAAACCACATTGTCACATTATTTGGGAAAGCACTTCTGCAGTTACACCAGGATATTATTATTGGTTATAAATTCATTGTGTAAAGAGCTGTTATGTATTAGATGTTTGTTACCTACCTATCCTAAAACGTACTGACAATATTTTCTAGTCTTTTTAAAAAAATTTAAGTTAAAAAAAATTTGTACATTGTGTCGTGAATAGTTCTGATTGATTTGAGAATGAAAACGATACAAACCAACGATAAGGTCGGTGGGATTTTTTTTAAAAAAAAAAAATCCTTTTAAGAAAACTTTATTGAGATGATTAGAAAGATCCTCCAATTTGCACGTAGGATTCAGATAGTTTATTTATGTTTTTGAAACTCCCTATATCGATCTTTTATTTTAATAACGTTTTTTCATTATTTTAATTTTAACGGAGTGGCCCTCAAAATGTTACTTTTTCCATTCACTCTTGAAATTACACATTCTTTTCATCTCTAAATTGTTTTAATTTATATTGACAACATTTGAAATGCATTGAATTGTTTAAATTCTAAGAGTAAAATTAAGATGCTATAGGTCATATGCTAATTTAATAATTTTGTAAACAGCCATTTTTTTTAAAAATCCTATCAGCCTTTTTTCAGAATGCCACTTAACTTTAAGCCAGTGTTTCCCAAAGTATGGTACGCGTACCCCCAAGGGTACGGGAACAGTTTAGCAGGGGCACACTTTCTTATGCGAAATATCTTGCAAAGAAAATTTCAAAAAAAAAAATTTTGCCATGAAAATTTACGATTACGTATTTTTCTATTGGCTATTTTTTTCAGAGTTAACAGTTAATAATTAGTGGTGTCAACAGCCAGTTGTGAATTTTAATTTTTGAGCAATTTTTTTACAGCAATATAATCAATATCATTAGGAAAATACATCATTCATTGCTAAACGTTTCTTAATTAGCCTAAAGGCAAATAAGCCTTATTGCAATATGCCTAGGTAAAAAAAATATGCAAAATGTACAGAGCCAGATTATACAGTTGACTTACCATCAATATAGGTTTGGATTATTTCCTCTCTACAATTATTTGTTTGAAATTTTGTATTCAAATAAATGTGTTGATAACTTTAAAATAACGACAAATATTTAACTATAACTTAATATTTATTCACACAAAGAAAAACAATAACACTATTTACATCATGCTTACTTACATATTTACAAGTGATTTCAAATCACATAAAATCAAAGACTGCATTACTTTTCATCAGACTAGGCTTTAGGAAAACTTAAAATTGCAGCACTTACTCCAATTTTTGCAGTATAATAACTAACAGAATATATTCGTCATCGAAAATTAATTGGCCACTAAATAATTAAGTATATAATAATTATATTCATTGATCAACATGCAATTTGCGTAACTTTATAAGTTGAGCTTGGCAAGTGATATGATACGAACACTATGATTTAAGATTAAATGAAATTTACATAGATAATAAATAAATTAATGATGGTAGAACAATAGGAAGCACTTTGAGGTATATTAAACTGTACAGTTTCTCAACTACATTTCAAAAAATGATGATTTTAAAATATTATAAATATATCAACAACATTTAACGTCATTATTAATACTAGTAAAAATACTTAACATACATATGGCAATATGTATCACAGAAAAATTAATGCCTTTAATATAAACATCTAGTATTTAGTTCTATTGATTTTACAAGATTGCTTTATACTCATTCATGAAAGATATTTTAATTATCATTAATCAATAATGTATAATTAATTTTAAATACAACAATCAATGCAATGAGCTTTTTTATTGAAGAGATTCTTTTTAATATGGCAATGTAATGGGATTAATTAATTTGTTTAATTATTGTTTTAGATTTAATTCATAAAAATTTAATTTATATTTTGAAATAATGACTTAAAATTAATTATGAATTAATTCTATTTCAGTCGTTAAGTTAAATTACTCATAAAATAAATACTCATTGCAGTTTTAATTTGCATTTAGAAATCATGATGTGCAATTAATTTAATTTTAATGAATTTATATTAGGTGTCAAAATTTTTTTTTACCAATTGACTTGTGAAAGTGTCAAACAAATAAGTAATGAACGTCATGTTAAAAGAAAAAAAAAGTTAAAAATATTGTGAACTAACACCAGTTAGTTTACTGATCTAGATATTGTTAGGTTTGAAGTAATAATTATAGCTTAATAAAACATTTTAAGGTGTTAATTGTCATAAATGATACAATTAAGACTTATACACATTTAAGAAACATTATTTGCCATAAATGGAGTAGTAAGACTTAAACATACATTTGAGACATGCTAATTATCATATAAATAATATAGGTATTACAAAAAGTGACTGATTATTCAAGAAGACTTTGGTTGGCATTATTAACGATGCAAGATTTGATGGTTTTTCACTGCTGAAGAATAAATTAAGCGCTGATTTGGCGATATTTTTCCAGTAATCACGTAATGAGTGGAATATCGTCTGATTCATTACTTCTTGCATCATCAAAGAACAAGTCCTCATCAGAATAGGAAGAAGCAGTCTCTTCACCATTAGAGTTCAGCGACGTACTAAGCATCCTAAACCTCGAAAACAGTTCCTCGTCTTCTGGAGACGATGACAAAGAAGATGCTTCTGAACTGCTGTACATGTACAGATCGTCGTAGCTGGAAGGCGTTCCGACATCAAGATCATCTTCAAGATCGTCCTCGTCTATGACACCGAGTTTTGGGGCGATTTTGGACATTTCTATGGGAGGTCGGAAGTTGATGCTACCTCGGTAGAGGAGGAGTTTTCGTCGAGGCATCGATGGGCAATCGTAGACAGCATTGGCAAGAGATAACCTCGCTTTTTGTCTGTTAAGCTGTAAAGGAAACAACAGAAAATGTCGTAAGAAATATGTGATGAATTGCAACCATGATTTAGCCTTAAATAGTCTTCCTTCGGTAGACAGACAGTTTAAGATAACTTTTATACAATTATCGAACAAAAATCGGTTTAACATTGAATCATAAAATCTGCACCTTGGACGACGCTAAGATAAATTGAACTATGTTACCCTTTATGTTTGATAGTCTCATAAAATTAATTTTAAAAAGTACGATGAGGTTCAACTAAGCATCATATTATGGTTGCGACAAATTTGAACCATATTATGTAATGTATAACATTTTGCTATAAAATGGAATAAAAGCGTATAGAACGTAGCTCGTGTAAGTAAGCGTTTGGAACAAAATTTAATACGATTAAATAGTTGTGCATCTGAAATTATAGAATTTTTCAATTAACTTCCATCGAATTTATTTTTAAACCAATTTTTATCTCCACACATGAAAAACAAAACTTCATTCAAATACATAGAGTACTTTCTAAAAGATCTATTCAAATATATCATATACTTCCTAAAAATCTCCATTTAATAAAATTCAAACTTGTTGAAAATCGCATTAAAAATACACTCGATATACTTTCTCTGCTCCGACGATTACGGGAGTGTTCAATAAACAAAACGGCATGCAAAACGTTGACCTTCGTTATCCTTGAGCCTTTACGGGAAGAAACACTTGTTCCTCTTTTAATTTTATTTCTTCCAGATCAATTGCTTAACCATAACTCTACCGATCTAGGACACGTGTTCGTCCTTAATCAAAATCAACTCCTACTCGAACAGGTTATTAATCCTCCACAAGTTCTGTTTTTGCTGCTGGAATTCGAATTCCAAAGATACCTGACGCCAGGAATATTAAAACGATTATTTTTTTTCATTTGCTTGTTTTCTTTTACGCAATTCATTCGAAATGAATGAAGTTAATAACATAGAAGTATTAAGAGAGGCGCCAGCATGGCGGGAACGATTTTGCCTTCACTTCCATTTTTTTCTTATTCTTTTAAAGGGTTGATTAAATTCTTATCAATAATATTTATTACAAGGTTTAATGACAGACGATTTATTAATATTTATAATTCACAGAGGAATTTAAACGTATGCAGTGCTATATGTTTGTAATCGGCTTTTATGGAACTTTTAATTTTATTAAATTTATATAATTATGAATTAAATTTTAACGAGGTGATATATATTAGTTAAAATTTATTTTATTATTGTATAATTTTATTAAAGAAACACTCTTTTTGAAAAGTGAACAAATATTTGCTTAATTATCGAGATTTCAAGAGGAATATATTATTTCATTTAAGGTAACTAATTTTCATTTCTTACAAAAACGTGAATTCTTAATTAATAATCATAAGATAATAAATCTTAGCGTATACACTTAATTAAATACGTGGTTTTAATTATCTGATAATATGAAAGCTGATAAATTAATATTACATGATCACTTTACATTATTTGAAAGTATTATAAGTAAGAAAATTTTTTAGTTCTAAGTTATAAGAGGACTATATGATATTAATTTGAAAAGAAATAAATTACAATCCTTCATTTTAGTAAGAAATTTTTACTTCTTACTCAACAAAAATAATAACAATAAGTCATGAATTCTAACATATTAAAATTTAATAATTAAAATGTATATTTATTTTCTTAGTAAAAAATGAAGTTAATTTCCTTAATAATTAATGTTATATAACATATCAATAATATTTATCACATTAAAAAATACATAATATATTCTCTTTCACACTAAAATTAATATTTATTCTCAAATAAACAAGAGTTATTTTAATACAGGAATTAAATAAATTAAATTGACTTTCTTATCTATAAAGATATTAGTAATTATTAATATATATATAAAACTATAAATGTCTTTTGAAAAAGTACTGTTATTTATTAAAAACAATATGCAAAAAATGCCTACATTATAGTAAATTATTTAGTTTTAGTTTCACTAATTCTGTCACAAAAATTTCATAATGAAATTATGCGCAGAAGTGGTTTATAAAAAACTGAAAATGTTTAGGTTAAATGATCATAGGCGTTTCTTTGAATAAGCACTACCCCTGTAAAAGTGTTTCACTGCATGCACTAGTTCACCGCCGTGAAATAACTGACCGATGATATGGAGTGGGGGATTTTTATTTTTTGCGGAATATTTACTTTTAATAAAAACTTGAATAATACTAAAACCCTTTATTTTTATTTACATAAATACTTCATTCAAATATGAATTAATTTTTAGAGTAGGGAGGAACAGAAATTTAAATAATTTTCTATTTAACTGTACTGATTGTAAATTTCAGACACATTATGAAATCGTTCATAATTTATTATGTAAAATCATATTTAATATTNTACTTCATTCAAATATGAATTAATTTTTAGAGTAGGGAGGAACAGAAATTTAAATAATTTTCGATTTAACTGTACTGACTGAAAATTTTAGACACATGATTATGAAATCGTTCATAATTTATTATGTAAAATCATATTTAATATTATAAGAATATTAATGCATAATAAGAAATTTAAATCACTTACACAACTTTTAATGAACCCATTTTAGAGCCTATTTCTAACTTATAATAATTAAAGCTATTTTAAATATACAATCTACTTAAATATTTAGTTGATGAAATAAATATTTAAGAAATCGTTCATTTGTTTACAAATATTTAACATCAAATATAAGAAATTACGAAGAAATGAATTTATGTTAATGTCGGTGAAATGTAACATCTTAAATACCTACTTATATGACATTTGTACCACATAATGCAAATAATTAAATCCTTATTTACATTTTAAAAAAAAATTTACGTAACATTTCAGTTAAGTATTATTTTCATGTACACATTAGTAAATTAAGTTTTTTTTTTTTTTAAATATTAGTAGAAATTTAATGTTTAAGTTATAAATACGAATTAAATTACAATAATAAATACGAACAATAACTTCATACAATAAACAATTAAAATGCAAACGATAACTCACCTTTTCGCGCCTAAATTCTTGCAGAGCAAGGGCCAATCTTTCTTTCAATTGCTCAGTCAATTCCTTGGCATTTTCAACTTTTAAGCACAAAGCTGCATGACATCTTAACTCCTGCTTCATCTTCGGTCTTTCATGCCTGTAAATCCAACAAAAAAGTCCAGGATATTCAGCGGGAGCTTCACAGTGTGAGATCCTGTAAGCCCAATATTCAGTCACTCCAAAGTTTTTCGTGACGGCCTTAATTCCAGAACTGCAAATGGTCAGTTCCATGGGGGTCTGGACTTTAGCCGGATTGCTGGTGTAAGCTTTCCACAGGGTGGACAATGGCTTGTCAGTACATCCTTCCCCTTTAGCGTAGGAAGTGAGGATATTACCCAGATAAAGGACTTTGAAAGTTGGGTCGTATTCGGTGATGCTAACGGATCTTTTTTTCCAAAATTTCAAAAACGCCTTCGATGGCAGGGGAATAGTCATTGGCATAGTCAACATCAAGGAGCTGATTTTGTTTGTGATCCTGCTCAAGAGAAAGAATATTCCAAACTTCCTTCGAATCTTTTTCCAAAAAATCGTCTGAAGACGCGAACTCCGAATTCACCGATTTCCGCTCACAGGAAAAACCGTTACACCTTCTAGAACGTTCCTCGATATACAAGGGTGCTCTCTCTTTAGCGATGTGCACCGGTTATTATGAATTCGAATTGCGATTTAAATTGTAAACAAATACTAACTCTTGTTTGTTTATGTTACAAGTTTGTTTGTAACGATGATTATTTAGAACACAGATAGCTTCAATACACGTCTATCAAGTTCGGTTGACACAGAAGAAATGAGCTAAATGATGATTATTCTGCTATACATTGAAGATCTCCAGCGTGTGACCTATAACGTAGGTGACGTCACAGCCGGCGAGTTCCTCCCATTGGAGAATGGTGTGGGCACGGCGCCAAAGAGAGAGGATTGCCATTCCTCTCTAGTTATCTTCCGGTCCAGGAAAAAGACTGAAAAAAAATTGGCGCCGTTCGTCTCGCCTATCGGTGATCCGTCCGTCTCTTTTTAGTTTTACTGCGAAAAGAAATCGAACTTTTTTGTTTCTTTTTTTATTTCATAATAAATATTATAACCATCAGTGAAGAAGAAAAAATTCTGGATATCGTCTGCGTCTATATAATTTTTTTTCAATTTTTTCGCCTGCAGTTTCCAATCCAGTTTTATTTATTTATTTATTTAATTTCTCGTATGTTAGCAGATGAGATTTCATTATTATTATCTGTAAATTGAATTTATTTGAAACTCTATTCCAAATTATTTATAATTTTTTTTTATTAATCTGATGTACAGGCTCCCCACGGTCCTTAAAAACTGCTTAATTTTTATTTTGGAAAATAAGGACCCTTAAAAGTACTTATTTTTGGTACGAGGTTCTTGAAATTCCTTAATTTTCAATATCGCCAGACAAGTATAATATGCGCGAATACTGTTCGCGGAAAATTTTTACTATAACTGAAAAATAAATAAAAAATCCTCTTCTTCAAATAAAGCTTGTCTTTTACAGGGAATACTTGAGAAAAGAAGTCATTATTACGCCTTTTCCTACGAATGCAAACTCGATTTAAAATTACATTCGCGTGATTTATGATCACTCATCGCGATTCTTATTTACGCAATTTAAGATCACGAATTTTCATTATTTTTTTAAATAAAGATATAATAATAAATAAATCAATAATTGACACTGTCACTGGGAGTCTATGTATAGTTGATGATAAACAATCATAATATTGTTAAGGTCCTCAATTTTTCAAAAATATGCTTAATTTTTTCGAAAAAAGGTCCTTAAGTTTTTCTTTGTTAAAAGAGTTGGAAATAGTTTTTATTCTTTTATTATTTTTTATGAGTTTTAATTGTATTATTCATTTCATATTTTTCACGAGTTAATTTTTTTTTCTAATTTCATGACATAAATATACTTATAATCAAGTATAAAAATTATAGTTGTCTTAGATATTTAACCAAAAACATTCAAAAGGGAATAATATAGTGATGTGTGTAATTTTAAGCCATTTTACTCTGACAAAAACTTTAAATTAAAACTTAACTAACTGAAACTTTAAATTAAAAAATGTTACTCTGTCAAAGGAAAGAAATAATATATATTTTTAATATTATTTTGGCAACTTTTTTAAATTTCTATGGTAGGCCTTTTTTACATCTTTAAGCAGAACTTCAGTTTTTAGAATTTAATTTTTCACTGTGATAAATAATAAAACGTTTATATTTTCTTTTTGTGGCTATCGATAATTCTTTTTTTGTAGTTATAGTTATTTATATTGTTAACACGGGCTTCAGTCTAGTAAAGAAACCTTACATGTGCAAATAGCTGTTAAGTCTGAGTGTTGTGAGGATTTTTTTTTCTTTCATTTTCTCTTTAACTATTTATGTATATACTTAAAACTGTTAAGTTTAATCCCAGTGAAAATTTTATACTATTGAAAAAAGTTATTTCCGTAATAATTTCATTATGTTAGTACATCAAATAAAAAGAATTTACTAAAATCATATCTAGTAATTTCGAAGAATCTGGTGATCAATCCAAAGTTGGCCAAAATCGTTTTCTTTAGGTGTAAGTTATCGTCGAGCCCCCAGTTTGAAAATTGAAATAAATAAATGAATGAAATAAAATTTTTTTCAGCATATTAATGAATAAAACTATTTAATTTAGTTCAGTTAGTCACATCAAGACTCGTTTTTAAACGTAATTTTTACTATTTTCAGTAAAATAATAACTTATATGTAACCGGCAGTTTTTTTTTCTTACCGGATTCTGTTAAAATTGGAATTTTTACCCCGACTTTAGTTAGTATTATGTTATATTCGTGAAAAGAATTCTCAAAACCCTTAATCCTAATCCCTAATCAAAATCTTAATCCTTAACTATACCGCTTGGCGAAACATTTTTCCCAAATAAAGCGCTCTAATTCTTTACTTCAAAAATATGATTTAAAATAATTTTAAATTCATCGACTTACGAATATTTTAAACGTAGTACGTAGAAAATATCTGGCAGTCATGCAGTGAAGATTTAATCATTGATAACAATTTTAAGAACGAAATTTCAATTGATTTGTAATTTTTTTAAACGTGATTGACGTGTTAATTACATCATTATTTTTTAACTGAAAAAATTTCATAACAAGTCAGAACAATCGAAAAATGTTTTAAGATTCAGTAATATTATTTACAATAATCGACAAGGTTTCCTTAGAAAGTAAATGTACGGATTTTTTATGGAAGTTGCCCTGTAATCTGTTATAAAAAAAGTTGCACAATTCAGACATTTTATCAAAAAGTACATTTCATAAATCATTTACAAAATATTTTTTTCTTATCGAATTTTAAAATTACTTATTATAAGAAACAACGAGAAAAAAATTTCAATAGTTTCAATTTATATCATTATTAGAGAAGGAAATCGTATCGAAACTTTAAACGCGTTTAAAATCATTCATTTTTTTCCCACTGGTATTGAAAAATGAAGTTTAAGCTACAGTATATAATTTTGCGACAAAAATTATGTTTAAATATATTTTTTTTTTCTGTTTAAAATAGGAATAAAAAAAAAATACAGAACAAAGTTACAAAAAATAACAATGCGTTTATAAGAATGTTAAATACTTTAGATTAAGAGTTAATGATGGAGGATTTAAATGATAAATTGCTAGTTTAAAATTCAAATTCATAATATTTAAGTAAACTAAATTCCTAACAAGTGAACTGTGTCTAACCAATAATTACGACAAATTTATATTACCCAAACGTCATTTTAACGAAAAAATGATAATTATCCGTTTTCTATTGCAATTATTCGTTATTATTAATAACTTGGCTCTAAAAATAATTCGCGCCACGGAAGAGTTTTCCCCCATACCCTCGAATACATCCCCCCCTACTCTTGTCTCCCAATTTATCCCAGAATAGCTAGGGGGGAAGATGGAAAAGGCTGGGGGATTCTAAAAAGAAAACGATTGAAGGCGCACATACATCGCCAAAAAATCGATCGTCTGATTTGGCGGGAAACTGTAGGCGTTTGGTAACCTGCTTTAGAATGGAGGCACGTGGCCCAGTAAATGCCCGTACTTTACGCTACTCGTACGCCCTTGGATGGAGAGGGGGGGATAATAAGTGGGGGGAAGGAGATCACAAATGTCAACATAAGATGCTGAGAAAAGGAGAAAGAAGGGGGGGGAGGTGGAGTTTGAATGGATTTTCATCAATATTTCATCATGGCAGGTTTTTTTTTTAATTGGACTAAGAAATAAAACGGGTTCATGATGATTTACGCAATTTATAAAATAACTGGTGATTAATATTTTTTTTTGCTGGCGTCTGCGAGGCGAGGGGGTAGCAGGTGATATATTGAGAATAGTGGATAGACGTTTTGTAGATGTAGACAATTTATATAACGTTATCTTTTTAGAATGAAGATGAATGTGTCTGCCCCTGTTCGGATTATTTATTCGTTGTTAACATATGTATTTTTAAATGAGCTATTATTGATTGATGTCACCTAATTATTTCCAACGATACCCAAACTTTAAAACCTAATAATCACATAATGTATAAAAGAAGAAAGTAATGTACTTTCAAAGAGGCACAATGTGCTATGGCCCTAGAGTCCTATGCGTGCCTATTTATTGGGAATTTTAAAAAATTATCAGTTTGGATATTTAAATATGTTGTTATTAATATTCCCTCGTTGAGCAGCTTCCGCCTCTTGTTGAAAACCTTCTAATTAATTAAAAAGATAAATTAAGAATTGATTGATAGACTATCTAAAAAAAAATTAATCATCATTAAATCCAATAATAAATCTATGATGGATAGAACATTTTAAAGTTTATTTTACGTTATTCAGGATACAGTTGGTTATATTCAAATATATAACAATCTGTCATCGTGTAATCATAATAATGATCATTATTATGATATCACGAGTTAATTAACATATTTATTAATTAATAATGCATGAATTAATTAATATGAATTAATAATCATCAACAGCTTAAAAGTTTGCTAGGATAAAGCTTTATTTTGCTCACTGCCTTTTATTTAACTGCTACCTTCACAAAATGTTTCAAATTTTTTAATAACGGGGTCTATCCTCAAAATTTGTAGAACGAAAAACAGGCGTGTTCATGTAGAGAAAATACGTTTTTTTATGTCTGATTTCACACATTTGAATATCGTCTGCATTAAATAATTAACATAATCAAGGCCTAGTTTTTGAAACATTACGAAGGAATTCTAGTTAGTAATCCAATCATTAGTTCACAAGTTATCTAGAACGTTTTACGTTTATAGTTGCGCACTGAATATTATTTTACTTATACCAACTTTATAATTATTATAATTGAAGTCTTCACATCACAAAAATCTCAAAAACACACTTTCCGAAATAAATGTTTATTTGCTTACAAACATTGTTCTTTCATAATAAATAAATAACAATGCGGTTAGCCAGGTTCATTGTGTACCATCAAACATTCGCCCCACGCATTCCGCGCAATAGGTCTCATTCATTACATCTTTTTCTACTTGTCTCTCCTCAATTGCGGAATTCAACACCGCCACGGTCGCTGTGTTCGAGTTAAAACCGCTCCAATGCGGTTATTCTCTGTTGCGTTATTTGTTTACTTTTTTTTTTCTTCTTCTTCACACTCCTGACGCAACTCTTTTTTTTTTTTTACATAGTTTCTTCAAACATTTCGCTTTTAAGTTCCAATGAATTCGTTTTTATGAGCTAGACATTAATTCCATCGAGTCGCTAATGTCAATTGGGCACGTCATGATCGATCTTTTCGTATCTCATTTCGAGCGTTTTGTTTGTA